AATGAATATGGTGTGTGTGTCTGCATGAATGTGCATGTAGAAGTGTAAGTTATTAGCATTCATTCATACAGAGCATGTTACAGAGCATACAAAACTAATTTCTTTAAAATATGTGGTTGGCAAAGCCAGATTAAATTCATAATGTCTCAGCCTTCCTACGAATACCCTACGTGTTTCAACTATAAGCAGTGAATCTATTTTTTTTTCTAAGGGACAGGTTTACAAAACAGCAATAAAAGTAGATTATACACATTCCCCTTTCCCCAGCTGTAATACAAATCCTTGGGCAAAAAGGAGATAAACTATAGCTCCCAAACCAAGTTATCTATAAGGAAAATGAATTAACTTTTATAAGTATTACAATTAGCAATAAAATTTTTAAAAAACCAAAGCTCCTGGGATTAGTTTTTCTCTTCTCTTTCATTCTTCCCTCCCTCCCTCTTTCTTTCTTTCTTTCTCTCTTTCTCTCTTTCTTTCTTTCAAGATTTTATTTATTAATTTGAGAGAGGGAGAGGGAAGGCATGAGCAGTGGGGAGGAACAGAGGGAGAGGAAGAAGCAGGCTCCCTGTTAGCAGGAAGACTGACACAGGGCTCCATCCCAGGTCCCTGGAATCACGACCTGAGCTAAAGGCAGATGCTTAACCCACTGAGCCGTCAAGGCACCCCTGGAATTAGTTTTTCTATCTAGATTTTATTCCTGGCATAATCCACATTTGGAAGCAGGGTGAGGCGAGATTGTGTTTTCCAAATATGGTAGCACTAACCTAGCCCTTCCCATATGCTCTTCTAAAAGTGTGATGTTGGCATTCCTCCATCAAAGGTGGCCTATTTCCCTGAATATATAGGTAGACCCATGGTAGGGCAGAAAGGACGTTATCTGACTTCAAAATCTAAGTCATCCAAAGTGATACAGCTCTTGCCGGGATCCCTTCCTTGGGACTGTGTCTTAGAATCCCCTAACTGATATGTGAGACCACCAGCCAGCCTAAAGCCACTGAGCTGGGGAGACCACGTGGTAAGAGCCATGGAGATAGTAATCTCGGAGAAGCCCAACTGTTCTAGCCTCCAGCTGTTCAAGTTTCCCTCCTGCCACCTATCTCCGGATGGGAGAGAACTGGCCTTCAAGCCAGGCCTACCTGATGCTGAGTAGGGCGAGACTGGCTGTCCTCATGGAACTATGCCCAAATTGCAAAGTAGTGAGCAAATGGAGAAGTGTTACCTTAAGCTGCTAAGTTTTCCGGTGGTATATAATGCATCATGGGATAACCAGAACATTAAAATTGAAGAAAAATTTGTGATAGTTAAGTATAAGTTAATATATTTACATGTATAATATATGGAGCAGGGTCGGTTGTTAAATTAATAAACTAATTTATAGCCTTAGTGTCTGAGAAAACCACCTTGTCTTAATAAGATACATGGAAGTGCTGGCCCATCAGGTTCCCTACTAAGACTTCTGAGACCTAACAATGCTCTAATGTCTTGATTTCTTAATTATGATAATGAAGTGAGCAGAATAAGGCAAAGGATGTAGGGGTCTTTCAGTTATCTGTTTGTCATGATTTTCTGGGTCAGGAATTGGGGTAGAGTTCATTTGGGCAGGTCTTCTCCGTATGACTTGGTGGGGGTAACTCATTCAGCTGTATTCAACTTGTGGCTGGGCTGGAAGGTCCGAGGAGGCTTGCCTCATGTCTGCTGCTCTTCCACATGTCTTCTCCATCCATGTTCATTGGCTCATCACTCAGTAGTCAAGCCCAGCTTCTTTACAGTCATGGAGGCTGGCAGGAGGCAGAAGCTGCCAGACCTTTTAGGGCCTGAACTGGGAAGTCTCGGAGTGTTACTTGCCCTGCATCCTGTTGGTTAAATGAAGTCATAAACCAAGTCAAGAGGTGGACAGAGACTGCACTTGCTGACAGATGTCCTGTCATGCATATCCGTGGGTGACGTGGAAGGAAACTGATGCCCATTTTGGGGACAAATGGGAAGAGTACTTGTCTCGAAAGAAAGAGAGTCATTCTAATACCAGCTCTGCTACTCTGCCTAGCTATGTGGAGTTGGCCCAGTCGCCCATTAATATACTTAACCAGTTTGCACACATGCCAGGTGAGAAGAATGAGCCATGAACTCCAAAAGTCCTATCTAGTTCCAAAAGTTTGCTTTCTCATCAGGGCAGTGGCTACATTAAGCCTGGAAGGTGGGGGCAGGAGGAGAACACAGCTAATGAATTCTCCAATTGTTAGCCTGTGTTTAACTTTAGCTATGGACTGGGTAACTAGTGACCTCTCCCTAACCAATCACCATATGAACTCAGCTTTTGAGAGATCATATGTTGCTGTTACAATCTCCCTCCCCTTCCTCCCCCTCCTCTTAGTCAGCTCATGGGATGGGAAATCAGTTTCACAGCTGTTATCTTTTACAGGGAGCAGGAGGTACTAGAGCTTCAAAGAGTGTTGGGGTAGGGATCCGAGAACTAAGATTTGACAAAATAATGTAGCCAACTCTATAAACATTGTGCTGAATCAGTTGTTAAGATGAGACCCCTGAAGCAAACTGAAACATTTTTTTAGTGTGTTTTTAAAAGTCTTCAGCCAGGGGGCTTTATAATTTTGAAATACACAATTTCCTTAGCAAGTATTCTAAAAAAACTTCATTTTAGGAGGATTACAGGTTGCCATAAGGACACCCCCGAACTAGATCTGTGTTGATTACTTGGTGAGGGGCGGTACATACAAGATCCATGGAAGGTGTACAAGGAGCTCCTTTAGGAACTCAGCATTCAGTAAGTTATCTGGTGCCTTCCACTGTGGGCCAAAGTGAGACATAGCATTTGAACCTTTACAGGCTGTATTGCCTCAGGAATTTCAGCTACAGCACCCAGATTCAGGCAGAGACTGTGTACCTTACCCAGTTTCTCCTTACATAGTCTTTGATTTTTCAACTTGGAGGGTAGGGTGGAAATACTAAAACAAAGTACACTGAGATCTGCTGGATCCCAGATTGTCTTCCCGGTATTCAACTATCAAACCCTCTTTATGTCCTTCCAACTTTTTGCCAGAATTTGCAGGACTTCTCAAATGAGGGAATGGTAGTTTTTTTTTTTTTCTTCATCATTAACAAGGTACAAATCTTCTTGCCCAAGAATATTATTACCATTAGAGCATAGAAATATCTTGATAGATCTGCCGCCCAGTCTTTTTTTTTTTTTTTTCTTTTGGTCTTCATTCTTTCTCTAAGCTTTAGTTATCTCCCCTCACCAGGATTTTCTTATCTTCCTTTTCTTAACACACGGCACCGTCTCCCCACACACCCTATTTACAGTGCTTCCATTCCGCCAAAATTTCAACTCAGGCTATACAAATCCAAATGCAGGAAAGATATTCTTCCAAACATTATGAAGAAAGATGCGATTAAAAGCATTCGATGAACAGTCAGTGAGTTCTAAAATCTTAGGAGGAGACGGTGCCAAGAGGAACCAGAACATTAAGATCTCCAATCAGTAAAGGTTTTTTTATTTGTTCAATTCTTATTGTTCCTTAATCCTTCTCCCGTTGTTACAATTGTCTGACAGAAGTCTTCAGTGAAGCTAACCTCCCTAAGAGAGGAGAGAAAGAGAAACAGAAGTAGAGGCAATTTGTATAGACAAGAAAATAAGGGGCACCTGGATGGCTCAGTTGTTAAGGGTCTGCCTTCAGCTCAGGTGATCCCAACATCCTGGGATAGGGTCCCACATTGGGCTCCTTGCTCAGCAGGGAGCCTGCTTCTCTCTCTCCCCCGTCTCCTCCCCCTGCCCATGCTCCCTCTCTCTGGCCCTCTGTCAAATAAGTAAAATCTTTCTTTAAAAAAATGAAGTTTGGAGTTAGAGTAGTAGACCTGGAGCTATTTCCCCATAGTATTTGCACCCAGGTAACAACGTAAAAAAACTGTCCATGGGAACATATAATCAAGCACAACTATATGCTGCCAAATACGACAAACGGGGGACATAGGTTTGGCTACGTCCTGTATCAGCAATTTCCCATGTTACCAGAGGCCATCCTGACAGCTTCTAAGCAGTGTTAAAAACAACAAAAAATACTTCGTGTTCTTAAGGGGCATGTGGCTTCATTGAGGAATCCATGGCTAAGAATATACACAACCGACATAGGTACGTATGTCGGGTTTCGAACATAGCAACGTGGTCTAGATAGAGTTCCATCTTTTCTTCATAAAACCATCCAACAAGAAAGCTGCTGGAGAAGAAATCCGTAATTGGATTAAGTTAATGACAGGGTCTAAATGTCACGAAAGTTCGAATTGGTCCCTGGGATAGCCGGTAGAGCAGGCCGTAGCCCAGGTGAGTGCCCTCGGACGGGATGATCTCTATGAGCCGGCTCTTCCTCCTGGAAGATCACAGACCTGCCCCCTCCCCCGCCCCCTGCAGTGCTGCAGAGATGATCATTTCTGCTCCACGTGCAGCTAAGTACTTGCTGATGTTCCTGACGTGACGGAGTCTGTGGGGGGGGGGGTTCGAGTGATTTAACCCTATAAATGGGAAAACCTGCAGCAGTTCTTTCTGACTTCCCCCAAAAGGGCAGTGTGTGCGGCCCGTGATACCCACTTCCTTCCTTTTTCTGGGAAACAGAACTTTCCCCATCCAGGCCCTTCCCCAACACCCCCGTCTCCCACTTCTCCCACCACGGTTCGTGGCCTCAGCTGCCTCAAACGCGTTTGGACGACCCTCCCACCTCCACCTTGCACATGCGCATACACAGCACGCGGTAAAGCAGGCACAGCCTGCGCAGCGCGGAGTTGCACGAGCCGGGAGCGGCGGTCTGCTCTTCCTCGAGGGGGCGGGGCACCAAGGGGCGTGGCAAATGAGAGGTCCTGTATTGCCATTGGTGGCGGCGGGGTCACGTGGAGGCTCACGTGAACCCTCGGCTCTCGGGTACACCGGCCCACCAGCCCACGAGTCCTCTGCCCGCGGCGCGCAGGCGCTCAGCGGAATTGCGGCCAGGGCGGAGGTGGTAAAGGGGTGAAGGCGAAGGAGGGAGTTCCTGAGAGCAAGCAACACATGCCTGGCGCGGTGCGGTGCTGCTGGCGGCGGGTGGGGCCGCCGGGCGGGCCGCCGCGGCTTTCTCCTGTCGTCGGAGGCTGCTGACAGGAAAACGAGCCGGGTGGGGAGCGCCCCGGCCCGGGCCCTTTCCCCTGAAAGTCTGCCGGGGCCGGGTAAGCCAGATAGAGACTCTGGCCCATGTTACAAACGGACGTTGAGGATCGCAAAGATCAGCCTTCTAGCCCTCTCTGTGCCTGTTACGAGCTTTGTGACCTGTGGCAAGTCCCTTAACCCGCGCCTCAGTTTCCCCACTCTTCTAGAGGACTTGCGACCTGAGAGTGGTCGAGAAGAAAAAAAAGTTCACGTCACAAGCACTACCTGCCTAGTGAGTATTTAGAGCACCTAAGTCATGCCCTTGCCCTCAAGAAATCGGGTGCCTACTTCAGGCACTGAGCAAGACGGAAGTTCCACCATGGTTTATGCCAGGGCCCTGGAATGGGCCCTCCTGGTGGATTGGCTGCACTGCCGATGTGAGCTTGGGGCTCAGTTTTCTTATCAGGGATAGCAGGTGCTTCAAAGGTAACAAGAAGAGCGTGGAGTGGTAAGCGTCGTCATTGGCACCTAGTGGTCTCCTAAGACTAGGACAAACTCCAGGCAGTGCGAAAGGCTTCTCTGTACAGTTGCTCATTTCAAAGCAGCCTGAATGTCTGGGGGAATGCAAGCACGGTGTAGGGGCTGGGGGTGCCCACCCGCAGAACAGAGTTGATTTTTATTCTCGCGTCTAGCCAGAGTGAAGGAGTGGGGTTATTGATGAAACACAGTCCTATTTGTTCCTCCTACCTTAGGAAAAGGCTTCTGAGTCTTACTTTCTGAATCCCTAGTTGGTAGTGGTTTAGAACAGGTAAAGGAGAGATTTAGTTGATGTTTCTGAATTCGCTCTTATGTTTAGACCTCTTCTGATGACGAAGGCGGCAAGTGATTGGTAGTTGGGGCAGTTAATGGTGTATTCTAACAATTTGGGATGACATTGTCGGTACTTGACAGGAAAGCTGGCAAAAACATTTACATCAACTGTTACTGTGGCTCCATGTTGAAAGCTTGAGAAATACTCGTGGGCTGTGTTGTATTACCTCTTTGTTTTGGTCTCCATAATACCCCTGCCTCCAGTGTTTCTAGGTGGTCCTTAAAAACTGTGATTTATTATTTTTTTTTATAGATGTGCATTTTGACCTTAATCTCACCTTTTCTACCAGTAACCACTTTAAGATCCTGTTGCTACAAGAGTTTAGGGAAAATCCATTTGTAATATTATTTAGAGAAGGATGACCACACCCTGACTTAGCAGAGTGTTGAGTAAATCAAGCTACTGTTCTTTCTGGAAAAAACCTGCAGCTGAAACTGGGATCAGGGATAAAGAAACCCAGCTGGATTTTGCCCCAGTGCCAGTGATGGTTTCTGTTTATGGTCTGTTTATCATACAACATGCTTTGCCAGAATATGACTAGTTTTTTTTGTAAGCCTACCGTGCCTATAGTATGTGATGCCTTGTGTCTAAAGGCTGTATAAAAAGCTGATTGATCCTGACCTTTTAAATGAATGGGAGATGTTAGTTAAAGTTGGTAGCTTGTCCACACACAGGTTTTTGGAGAAAGTAGCCATTTGATTGACACTCTCTAATTGATAGCATATGAGAGATTCCAGGAACTTTTTCATTTATTTTCAGTTTTTTGTTTTAGTATTCTAAACATTTGTAGAGTTTACATGCAGATGTTTCAGTTTCCTGAAATTGGCTTTAAAGAATTAGTTGTCCTTGGTTTCACTCACTATTTTAGTTCAACACATATTATTTAACACAGTATAGTAGCTGAGTAACTGCAACACTCATAATAAACATTGGTTGAGTATGTACTATTTATAGCAACGATTTATATAGATCATTTATATCCATTGTGTCACTTCACCATTTTGGACACGGGGGAATAAAACCATGTTTATTATATGTTTCTCTACCTCAGGAAATTTATGACCAGTTTTCTCTACTTTTTTTTTCTTAAGAGAAAAGAATCTTCCTGGAAAGTTACGCCTTTTAATTGTTCTAGAAATCTTGGATATTTATATTGTTTCTTTGAGAGTACTTGTTTTCTTTAACATTTTTATTTTTTCTTTGTTTCAAATGAAATAACTCTTGCAATGTTAGTGTGGGTCTTAGCCAAATCTGATCATTTTCTTACTCTTATTCCATTTTATGGCCAAGCTCTACTTACATATATACATACACACATACAATATTTTCTTTATCCATTTACCTATGGATGGGCACTTGGGTTGCTTCCATTTTTGGCTGTTGCAAATAATGCTGCAGGAAATGTAGAGATGCATTTTTTTTTTCAAATTAGCCTTTTCATTTTCTTTTGGTAAACCAGAAGTAGAATTACTAGATCACATGGTATTTCTGTTTTTAATTTTTGGGGGAACTTTAATACTCTTTTCCATGGTGGCTACATCAATTTGCATTCCCACCAACAATACATGAAGGTTCCCTTTTCTCCACATCCTCACCAACACTTGTTATTTCTTTTTCATTCTGAGCCTTTCTGACAGGTGTGAGGTAATACCTAATTGTGGTTTTGGTTTGTATTTCCCTAATGATTATTGATGTTGAGCATCTTTTCATGTGTCTCTTGGCCCTATATGTCTTCTTTGGAAAAATATCTATTAAGATCTTCACACTTTTTTAGTTGGTTTGGATTTGTTTGTTTTGTTTTGAGTTGTAGGAGTTCTCTATATATTTTGGATATTAGCCCCTTACCAGATACATCATTTTTGAATATCTTCTCCCATTCATTAGGTTGCCTTTTCATTTTGTTGATGATTTCCTTCACTGTACACAGCTTTTTAGCTTGATGTATTACAGTTTATTTTTGCTTTTGTTTCCACTGCCTGAGGAGACAGATCCAAAAACATACTGCTAAGAGCAGTGTCCAGGAATATACTACCTACATTTTCTTTTAAGAGTTTTCTGGTTACACGTCTCACATTTAGGTCTTTAATCCATTTTGAATTATTTTTGCATATAGCATAGGAAAGTGGTCCAGTTTCATTCTTTTCTATGTAGCAGTCTAGGTTTTCCAACACCATCTATTGAACTGAGTGTCTTTTCCCCATTATATATTCTTTCCTCCTTTGTTGTAGATTAATTGACCACATAGGCATGGGTTTATTTCTGGGTTCTCTATTCTGTTCCATTGATTTATGAGTCTCTTTTTGTGCCAGTACCATATTGTTTTGATTACTATGGCTTTTAGTATAGTTTGAAATCTGGGAATGTGGTACCTCCATCTTTGTTCTTTGTTCTCAAGATTACTTTGATTATTTGGTGTCTTTTGTGGTTCCATACAAATTTTAGGGTTATTCTAGTTCTGTGGAAAATGTTACTGGTGTTTTGATGGGGATTGCATGGAATCCTTGCTAAATTTTTGTGATTTGCTTGGGGGTAGCATGGACATTTTATTTTTTAAGATGTATTTATTACTTGAGAGAGTGAGCGAGCAAGATAGCGCAAGCAGGGGGAGAGGGAGAGAGAGAGAATCTCTAGCAGACTCCCTGCTGAGTGCACAGCCTGATGCTGGGCTTGGTCCCATGACCCTGAGGTCATGACTTGAGCTGAAACCAAGAGTAAGACGCTTAACTGACTGAACCACCCAGGCGCCCCAGATACTGTGGACATTTTAACAATATTCTTTGAACAATGAGCATGATATGTCTTTCATTTGTGTCGTACTCAGTTTCTTTTATCAGTATCTTACACTTTTCAAAGTACAAATCTTTTGCCTCCTTGGTTAAATTTATTCAAAGATATTTTATTCTCCCTGATGTAATGGTAAATGGAATTGTTATCTTAATTTCTCTTTTTCTTGTATGTTATTTGTATATAAAAACACAGATTTCTGTATGTTAATTTTATTTCCTGCAACTTTACTGAATTCATTAATTAGTTCTAATGGATGATGACTTTAAATCTAAAAATCTCTAAAGTGATGACTTTAGGATTTTCTGTATGTAGTATCCTATCATCTGTAAATAGTGACAATCTTACTTCTTTACCAATTTGGATACCTTTTATTCCTTTTACTTGTCTGAACCAATAGCTACAACTTCCAGTACAATGTTGAATAAAAGTGGCAAAAGTGGACATCCTTATTTTGTTCCTGATATAGAGGAAAAGCTTGGAGCTTTTCACCTTTGAGTATGTTAGCTGTGGGTTTATCGTATATGGACTTTATATTGATGTATGTTCTCTCTACACCCACTTTGTTGAGAGTTCTTTTTATCATGAATTAATGTTGAAATTTGATGTTTTTCTGCATTTATCAAAATAATGTGATTTTTAAATTAACATATAATGTATTATTTGTTTCACGGGGACAGGTCTGTGATTCATTAGTCTTACACAGATCACTATGCTCACCATAACACTACCCTCCCAATGTCCATCACCCAGGCATTCCATCCCTCCCATTGCCCTCCCCTCCAAGCAACCCTCACTTTGTTTTTTGAGATTAAGAGTCTCTTATGGTTTGTTTCCCTTTCTGGTTTTATCTTGATTTATTTTTCCCTCTGTTCCCCTATGATCCTCTGTCTTGTTGCTCAAATTCCTCATATCAGTGAGAGGATATGATAATTGTCTTTCTGCAATTGATTTATTTCGTTGGGCACAATACCGTCTAGTTCCATCCATGTTGTTGCAAATGGCAAGATTTTAGTTTTTTGATATCTGCATAATATTCCATTGAATGTGTGTGTGTATACACACATGTACACACACATACATAACACATCTGATTTATCAATTCCCCTGTTGATGGACATCTAGGATCTTTCCACAATTTGGCTATTGTATACATTGTTGCTATAAACATTGGGGTGCATGTGCCCTTTCAGATCACTACATTTGTATCTTTGGGGCAGATACCCAGTAGTGTAGTTGCTGGGTCATAGGGTAGCTCTATTTTCAACTTTTTGAGGAACCTCCATACTGTTTTTCTAGAGTGGCTGCACCAGCTTGCATTCCCACCAACAGTGTAGGAGGGTTCCCCTTTCTCTGCATCCTTGCCAACACCTGTTGTTTTCTGACTTGTTAATTTTAGCCATTCTGACTGGTGTGAGGTGGTATCTCATTGTGGTTTTGATTTATATTTCCCTGATGCCGAGTGATGTGGAGCACTTCTTCATGTCTTGGCCATCTGGATGTCTTCTTTGTAGGAATGTCTGTTCATGTCTTCTGCCCATTTCTTGATTGGATTATTTGTTCTTTGGGTGTTGAATTTGCTAAGTTCTTTATAGACTTTGGACACTAGCCCTTTATCTGATATGTCATTTGCAAGT